ATATACTACAAGGAAAAATTACTTGAATCTAGGAGGCTCCATGGGATCCTTTTGCACCTCAACCATTCTAACTAGACGCTGCTCAGCGCCACTATTGTACGCCGGCCCCTTCTGAGATGGAGTATATTTGATATATTCGGCCGGTCCCGTCCTTTCGGCCCTACGCACTGGTAACGCCGCAGCCACTTTTTGCTCAATCAAAGCTTCCAGTGCTTGTCTGGTTTTCTCTGTGGTCTGTACGAAGGACAATGAGAAAAAGGTATGAGTACCTCTTCAATAACGTCTTTGCTGGGCTTTTGAAGTTCAGCATCAGCCTCGTCTATCGGTTTTGGAAGTAAATCGGTGAATTTTGAATGGATTATCCTATCCCGCGAGTGGCCTTGTCGGATGAGCTCATCATAGCGGACATTGCCATCTTTGTCGGTTTTCATGACCAAAGCGTTCGACGAAGTTTTTTGCCTTCCCATCCCCAATGGGTATTGTGGAATATGGATTTCTGGAAAAGCCCCGCCATCCCCGAAATCTTCATCATTTCTCGGGAACCAATGTTTGCGGTGGCCGTATGGGGGCACATTTGTTTTTGAGACGATAGCCTGGCTTTTTGATTGTAAAATACTAGAACTAGCGTCCACTACCCTCTGCGCGGGAGCCGGGAGTTGGCTAATCAGGTAAAAAAGGCTTTAGGAGGTAAAAAGGCAATTACCTTAGAAGAGACATCAGATGGCACTCCTGGCGTCAATAAAAAGGTGCGTTCAAACAAAGTTGTGCATCGAACTTAATCGATGGTGGAACAAGAATACTCAAGGCAGGTTATTTAGTGGGCGACTTACCATTCTGCATCGTTTGCGAAAGACGGCTTGCAGTACAAACGATATCAGGTACCAGAACTTCTCTAAAATATATTTGCTAAGGGATTAGACGTTAACAGTGAAGAAGAAACACAGAAAATAATTGACAAATTATGTGGCGAAAATTTTCATTAAAATTTTTTTTAAAAACAAATTGATGAGTATACGTTTGTTTTCGATCAATTCTTCTTGGGCCTTTGCATTTATATCGTAATAATCTAGGTAAAATAAACAGATTTGTAGAAACAAATTGTGCGATTGTCTGGGCTGGATGCCACAATTGGGGTCAGCACACTGATCAGCGTCATGGGGAACTAGCCGGCAGGAAAGGTAATAAGCTGCTGGCGGTTGAATTGGCAGCTGTCGACCTTGGTGACTGGTGTCCATCTACGAACTTATTTGGGCGCACAAGGCCGGTTGCTATAACATGATTGCAGCCGCTTCTGTCGTAGCCAACCGACGCTATCAAGTGAATTTTGAATTGGAGTTTATATTTTTGGAGTTTATATTTTTAGCGCCGGTACGGCACTATCTGTACAAAGTTAATTTCAAAAAAATAAAAATTCAAAAAAGAATTTGACAATATGTGCAAATAGACGTAGAATTCGTAATAATGTTAAAAATTGTCGTTTTGGGGCAACATTTAGCAATGCTATACAGGTAATTGTGAACTAAAAAACTAAAACTTATGGCAGTTAAAAAAACTCTT